AGCTCAGTAAATTAGCAGGAGGTAAGGTTTCCCTCCCCTCTCTCAGGCAGTATCCTTCTTCACTGGATTTGGAAGGGGTCAACAATGGGACCCATCAACGCCCATTCTTCAACATAGGAAGAATGGGCCTTGATGACAGCGAGAGACTAGGGAAGAAGAGGATGGAAATTGAAAAATTACCAGAATTAAAGACAAGAGAACCATCCTGCAACTTGAGCAGGATTATTCCTACAACCTGTTTCAGGGACAACTTTGTGAAGTGTCAGCATTTGAGAGGGCAAGTTCTCTTAGCAGGCCTTGGAAGATTATTCCTTATATAAATTACATGGTGTCCTCATTCAATGTAATTTTTCTTAAAGCATACTCATTATTGCTGATGCCCTGGCCTCATCACAAATAAACAGGCTTGCAAGTTCTCTTAGCAGGCCTTGGAAGATTACTCCTTATATAAATTACATGGTATCCTCATTCAATGTAATTTTTCTTAAAGTGTACTCATTATTGCTGATGCCCTGGCCTCACCACAAATAAACAGGCTCTCACAGTCCTTCTGCCATCATGAACCTTCCTCCACTGTATAACTAACACTCTATCTTTTCTATACAGAATCATTCTATACAGAATTTCTATACAGAATGATTGAGGCTGGAGGTCATCTGGCCCAATTCCCCTGCTCATGTACAGCCATCTAGAACAATTGCCTAACGCCATGTCCAGATGGCTTTTGAGTATCACCAGAAATGGAGACTCTGCAACCTGCTCCAGTGCTCAGTCACCTTACAATAAAACTGTGTTTCTTGATGTTCGGAGGGAGCCTCCTGCTTTTCAGTTGAGCCCGTTGCCTCTTGTCCTGTCCACTGGGCACCGCTGAGAAAAGCCTGGCTCCATCCTCTTTGCACCCTCCCTTCAGGTGTTTATGTACAATGACAACATCCCCTTGAGCCTTTTCTTCTCCAGGCTGAACAATCCCAGCTGTCTCAGTGCCTTCTCCTACAAGAGATGCTCCAGTCCCATCATCATCTTTGTGGCTCATTGTTGGAACTCTTTCCAGAATGTCCAAGCTTCCCAGCTGGGTGGCCCCCAGCACATATTGGTGTTGCTTCTCCCCAGGTGCAGGACTCTGCATTTCTTGTTGAACTTGATGAGGTTGACTCTACTCAGCACTTGTCAGGCCACACCTGGAATACTGTGTTCAGTTTTGGTCTCCTTGCCATACAGTCTGGAGAGGGTCCAGAGGACCACCAAGATGATCCAAGGACTGGGAAGCCTGAGATATGAGGAAAGGCTGAGAGAACTGGGTTTGTTCAGCCTTGAGAAAAGAAAACTGAGGGGAGACACTATCACCACATTGCAGTATTTAAAGGATGGCTACAAAGTAGATGGAGAGTCACTTTTACAAGGAGTCATAAAGGGTGGCTACAAAGAAGATGGAGAGTCACTTTTACAAGGAGTCATGTGGAGAAGAGGAGGGGTAATGGGTACAAGTCACTCCTGGGGAGATTCCAATTGGACACAAGAGGAAAATTTTTCACAATTAAAACAATCAGCCATTGGAATAATCTCCCCAGGGAAGCAGTGGATTCCCCAACATTGGACACTTTTTTTCCATTTTCTCTCTAATTTTTTCCCCATCATCCTTAGAAGTGATTTTCAAGTTTTGAAACATTTTGTGAGGCAGATACACCAAAAGAATGTATGTTCTAACATCTAAATATATGTCATTTCATTCATGCAAACTACCTTAAAAAGATCTCATATTTTCCTCGTGTTACTGTTGGGGTTTTTTTCTTAATCTCTGACTATAAATGGCCTGCGAATATAGAAGACAACAGAAAAAGCTATGCTTAGCCTAATTTGTTATACCTAAAACCAGTCAAAGTCGCTCAATGGCACAGCCAGGAAGGGTTCGTGGGATGTTGAGGATCCTGGAACATCAGGAGTCTGTGGGATTACGCAAAACTTCAGGAAAGGAGTTGGGGAGGAACAAAGTGGGAAACAGATATAAAGGGGCTGGTTTTGTGGAAACCAAGGCTGGACATTGTGCTTGCCTGATTGAGCACTGTTCCGGATCTCCAGAGTCTGCCCTACCTCTTCATTAAATCCTTTCTTAACTATCGTTCCACGTAATGTCACAGTCTAGTGTACCTGAGTGAGAATGAGGTGCCAGCAACTGGTGAGACTGGTGTGGAAGGCGAGGTGGCTGGCTGTATCTGTGCTTGGACTCCTGACAGCACTGAAGCCAGGTGCCACTGAAGGCAGTGCCTTATCTGTTGCAGCCGGCCACGTCAGTGTCCTTCATACATCTGCCTGCTTCTGAGAAGCACACTCAGCCTTGCTACTGTGTGAACCTGCAAACAGAAAATCTCTTTAACTGTTTTTTCTCTCTTAACTGCTTATTTCTATGTAAAATCAATTTAGAAAAGTTAAGCCTATGCTCAGTGTGATCTTTTTCCCCTCACTCTTCAAAACTGAATACTTTACTGAAAACTAACTACTAACAGCTAGCTAGATTGTGGTTTGTTTTGGTTTTGCTTTTTTTTGTTTTGTTTTTTCACAACCTAAACATAACAGATCCAAATCTAAATATTTTCTCACTGCAGCATGATGCTAACCTTTGTCAAAGCAAGGTTCCTATGAGAGGTGTTACTGTTTCTCCTTACTTTGCAGCTGAAAATCAGAACTTTCAGGAGTGACAAAGGAAAAAAAATATTAAAAATCAACAGCCTAAACCCAGCAATTCCAGTTATTTTTCTTAAGCTAGAGAAGTCTGAATACAAGTCTGAGCTCTTTGAAAGATGTAGTCAATTACACAGGAGACGTCTTCAGAATTTGTGCACCCAGGTCTAACAGTTTATGCAAAACTATAGTCTGGAGACCAAGCTATTCATAACAGTGACCATAAGCAAGGTAGCAAATGCACATGAATGGAAACAAAACAATACCAAACCTTCACAAGAGAGAATTCTACACATAAAATTGGCAACAGCAGCGACACAGGGCCAAATTGCACTGAGCAGGACTTAGAACTCATGCCTGCTGAAACAAGTCTCACCTAGGTTGTTGACCTTGTCACAACAGTTGATTATAACTTCCCTGGAGATTCTTGTTTCATTCCTTTCCTTTAAAAGAAATTATTTTCTGTATGCATACGCTAATCAAATCATCACTGTGTAATGATGATTTATTACATAACAATACCTTATTTTCTTGCTTTTCCTTCTCCTAATTTATTGTTAGTGTTGTGATGTAGTGAAGACAACAGTAAGAACACATCACACAACACAGGCACAGTGTATGCCGGAATAATCTCCCCAGGGAAGCAGTGGATTGGACACGTTTTTTCCATTTTCTTTCTAATTTTTTCCCCCATCATCCTCAGAAGTGATTTTCAAGTTTTGAAACATTTTGTGAGGCAGATACACCAAAAGAATGTATGTTCTAACATCTAAATATATGTCATTTCATTCATGCAAACTACCTTAAAAAGATCTCATATTTTCCTCTTGTTTTACTGTTTGGGTTTTTTTTCTCTGTTAGTGTTGTGATGTAGTGAAGACAACGGTAAGAACACATCGCACAACACAGGCACAGTGTATGTTAAGGGTCTCAGCTTCACATAAATTTTATTTTACAAGGTGTTTTATAGATGTTTTGCTAAATCTGTTAATGTTCTGGAAAGCATGCCCCCTTTCAATACTATTCTGTACATACTAATTTTTATGGAGATCAACGACTATTTTTACAAAGTCAAATCCTCTGAATATCTATTACTTTTCATAATTGCAAATAGGGAAACAAAACCAAGTTAGAATTACTACAATTGTATTCATTTACTGAATTGTTCTACTAATAAATACAGCGATTTTCATGCAACTCGAGATTTGTAAAATACCTTGTCTACATCCTGTTCACTGTTTTCACTCCCTGTCCCACAAAACTATTGGCTTTATTAGTCTTTTGGTTTAGGGCTGAAACGTGACCCAGTTAAGATTTCCCTGGTACCCAAGATGTTAAAGTTATTCCTTAAACTATGCCAAGTAGCTCAAAACTTATTTCTCTGAAATACAGACATCTTCCTTAATTCATCTTCTGTACTACTGGAAACACTTTCCGCACAGGTAGATGTTGGCAATTCCACTGCTGGTGTTACTACCAGATTTTCTGTACCAGAATTTGGTATTACTGGAAAAACAACACGCTCTTTCCATAAAACAGAGAACTGAGACGACAGGAAACAGTCTTTTAGGTGTTACGAATGAGAAAGAATGAGAAAATGGCAGCCTCTACTGGATCTCTTTACTGGAGTTATTTTACAACTAATGAGAACAGAGCTTTTACCTCCTTATTTCATACTCACCCACTGGCTTTCTCCCAGGTATGTCACCTAGGTCTCAGCTTCTCTTGCCAGCAGCAAGATCATTGCTGGTCTGTGAAGGTGGAACAGAAAGTCGTGTTGGTTCTGTGCTACACAGCTCCTTGCAGCTACCAGTCTTGAGCGCTACAAGTCAATGTAATAAAAAGTCAGAAGTCATAAAAAGTCAAGGCCTCGGGGCATCCCCAGGCAGTCGTTTCCATGCAGCTTTGATCCCCTGGACCTTCTTTCTTCTTTCCTGCAGCTGGTACCCTTACCTTCTTTCTGGCACGCTTCCTCTTTCCAAGAGATCTTCTTTATTTCAGGAACCCTTCTTTTTGGCACCAACTCTTCTTCCGAGAACACCAAGCCCACAAATTTCCCAGTCTAAATATTTCATACACATTGGTGTCCTAATTGGCGGTTCTGCCTCATATCTCTATTAAATAATGTATTAGCTTTAGTTTAGTCCAGGTGTTATCAAAATTCACAGTCAGCCCATGCAGCTAGCAAGCAGCAGGCTTCTACCCGAGAGTGCAAAGGAGCCTCTGGGAGGTATTAACTCAAGAAATTATGCAAAATTCTCTTTGTATAAGAGCTCCATTTCTTCACAGAAGTATAAGTCTCCAAATGAGAGATACTGCACAGATTAATCAAACCAGAACTCTTTATTTTGACACCTCAAGGCAGTAAAATACAAGTATACAAAAAGTATATACGAAAGTGGCAGTGATAATGCGACTTGATGCAATCCTACAGAAATGTAATCCATCAGAATGGACAGCTTCATCAACATACCCATCTGTAAAATATTGCACCATTTCAAAGAGCACTCAGGAAGAAAGTGTTTATACTCCAGGGAGGTAACAACAGCCCCTAAACTGATATCTTAAACTTCAGAATAAGGCACCAATTGGCAAGTATGATTCTTCTTCTCTTCATCACGTTGTATGTATGATAAGTGCAAGATGCATGTTAATGCTGCACCTTTGTCAGCTGGAGGAAACACAGCCTTCATTTTCCCAGGCAGAACAATAAAAAAAAAAAAAGAAAAAGCACATGCCTAGTTTTCCAGCCTCCCTCCATATCCCTTTGTGCTTCCTATTCATAATTCTATCCTGAAAAAAATATTTTTAAAGCCACACTTACATAAAAAGAGTAAGCCAGGAACTACGCCAGTTTACTACTACAAAATGGAGAAGATGGAGAGTCAAGTGAGCAGACTGTAGTCCACATGTAACCCAGCACAGCAGGATTTAGGTTCTACCACAGAAAGAGAACAATGCCCATCTCCCACATCACATCAAATGGGAGTAACTGCAACTGGAAACAAGCAAGAGACAAATCACAGCATGAAGAGACTGTGTAAAAAATTTCCAAAATAAGTGATGGACTATATGTCACAACATTTCTTATTGCCCAGTTGAAATGACACTTTCCAAACAGTATGAGCTGAGCAAATGCCTTAAATGATTATGGTTGAAGAAAGAAAACTCACCTAATAAGGTAATAACATGAAACTCTTCCCTTTCATTTAAAAGGGAAAAAACCTGCAGTGATAAATAATCCAAGCAACACGCTTAGATTGTAAAGAGCTGCCTTGAATATTTTTGTTAATTAAACAAAAGACAAAAGATCCTTCTGTACAAGGCTGTAGGGTTTCACGGATCCACTGGTACAGTGCAATTTATAGACTCCTGAGAAGCTGGTTAATTTAATGCTATGCCTGTTGTGACACACAGGCACTATGGCAAACAAATTCCTCAACAGGAGGAATTCCTCCTCCATGCAGTTCACTCTTGCGACTAAGGGGAGCCAATCTAGAACTTCTAGATTCAAAACCTTTTCTGGGGCAGTTTATGGAGGCTTATTTGTCTGTATAAAAATCCTGTATCCTCTTTTATTGATAACCTGGGATGTCTCTTAACCACTTGGCTACTGAAGGAATGTGCAAAAATAGACTTTTAAGTGATCAAGATGTATAGAAAAGTGTCAAGCACTGAAAACATCAACCTTCCTTTTTAGAGACAGGAAGGATTCTCCTTCACAGGGGAGCCCTTTTCTAATATACACAGGAGCTGACCGTCCTACATGAAGAATCAAGTAGAAAGCATTTAAAATTTTTTAAAATTCACGATAAACAGCATTTTATGAATAATCTTCCTTTCAGAAAGGCTCGACTTTTAAAAAGATTGTACGAATAGTCTGTTTCTTCGCTTGCAAACATCGTTATGTTTCCTTCCAAAGGATGTTCCCACTTCCTCCCCATCCCAGTGCTGATGCTTTTTCCACCAATTTCTATACATATGGAGCAAGTCAGGATATTAGAATGTTAAAGCCTGAACTGAATCAGGTTACAAAGAAAGTTGCCAGAGCGTTTTAAAAAAAAGACATCAAGAATTGGACTGGCCAGATATAAACAAGCATTCCTTGTTTGCACATCTGATATCCCAGCCCACAGGAATGAAAACACAGACATCCATACTCAGAGTTCAGCTTTGGCAGTATGTCTCTTCCAAAATAGCTGGCAGGGTTATTTTCCTGGCAGATAGCCAGGAAACAGGTAAAGGTCCCGACAGAGAGTGCTACAATATTCTGACATTTCCTTGCAGCGGTGAAATTCTGTGCCTGGGGCATAGCCTTCTCGTTGCTTGATTTGCCTATTCACCTAGATGTGGGATTAAAAAAAAAATAAAGTGACTGGAAGGATTAAGAAGACAGAAGTAAGAAAAACATCATTGCTTTCTGTACTCATAGATTATTCTCTTTAACTTACCAAGTAGTATCTTACGTATTGTCTTTCTAAATTACAAGAAGATAAAGAACTAGGGTGTAGTTCCAAGCCTCTCAAGTTGTCATGATCACCCTCTATCTTCATGCCCTCTTCCCTCATTTTCTTAATCTTTACCTTATGTGAATTCAAGTATTTGTGCAACTATGTGTTAAACCTGTTCAGTGAATTAAACCACCTGAAAAAAGCCCCTATTTCTACTCAAGAGAAGTAATTCCTGGCAAGCCAGATTAATTCTTCTCATAAATTCACAACATATCTACACCAGCAAAGTGGAAGAGTAAAAGAAACAGCATTTTTAGTTTGGTTAAACTGCTGTGGAACTGTATATAAATATCTATATTCACAACAATCTTTATCAATGATATTGATTTTTGATCTTTATCAATGATCTGGACAAGGGGATCGAGTGCACTCTCAGTAGGTTTGCAGGCGACACCCAATTGGGTGGGACTGTCGACCTTCTCAAAGGGTAGGAAGGCTCTACAGAAGGATCTGGACATGCTGGATGAATGGGCTGAGGCCAATGGGATGAGGTTCAACGAGGCCAAGTGCCAGGTCCTGCACTTGGGTCACAACAACCCCATGCAGTGCCACAGGCTTGGGGCAGAGTGGCTGTAGAGCTGCCAGGTGGAAAAGGACCTGGGGGTGTTGGTTGACAGCAGGCTGAACATGAGCCAGCAGTGTGCCCAGGTGGCCAAGAAAGCCAACAGCATCCTGGCCTGTATCAGGAACAGTGTGGTAAGTAGAACTAGGGAAGCGATCACCCCCTGTACTAGGCACTGGTGAGGCCCCACCTCGAGTACTGTGTCCAATTTTGGGCACTTTACCACAAAAAAAGACATTGAGGTGCTGGAGTGGGTCCAGAGAAGGACAACGAAGCTGGTGAGGGGTCTGGAGAACAAATCTTATGAGGAGTGGCTGAGGGAATTGGGGTTGTTCAGCCTGGAGAAAAGGAGGCTGAGGGGAGACCTTATCACTCTCTACAACTACCTGAAAGGAGGGTGTAGAGAGGTGGGCGTTGTTTTTTTCTCCCAAGTAACAAGCGATTGGACAAGAGGGAATGGCCTCAAGTTGTGCCAGAGGAGTATTAGATTACCTCTTAGGAACATTTTTTACAATGAAAGGGTTATCAAGCATTGGAACAGGCTGCCCAGGGAAGTGGTGGAGTCATCATCCCTGGAGGTATTCAAAAGACAGGTAGAAATAGTGCTTTGCAACATGATTTAGTTGACGGGTTTTGTCAGTGTTAGGTTGATGGTTGGCCTTGATGATCTGAAAGGTCCCTTTCAACCTAGACAATTCTATAATTCTATGATATATATATATGTATTTAAATGGGAAAAGAAGTCAAATTTTGCTATAAACAAGACAAGAACAATTACTTTAACAGCAGATTAATACTAGCACTGAAAGGCTCTTCAGAAACTGAGTGAGTGATGGAGAAGACAGACACTCCAGCTCACCTTCACCAACATGTCAGCCACATGAGTGTCTCGGGCGTCCTCTGCAAACACAGAGGTGAGAGCCTCAATATACCAGGATCCACGTTTGGTGTTTCGCATGGCCGCAGTGCCTGAGAAGAAAGCGAGTAGGATGATGATTCTGGGAACACAGACACATAAAAAACTCCTTATGCCCTAATAATGAGGGCTTCTCCCCAGTACCTTTCAGACAAGCGTATCCACAGATCATATCGGAACAGGTAGGCAGGCGCAGCTTGAGATTTTCTTCCTTGTTTGCATCACTTTCCTCACAGCCTGGGGAATCTGACCGTTCTTTCCCATCTCTTTGGTCCACTCCCCGGTCCGTCTCATCTAAGGGATGGGGGGGCAATAAACAAGGAGAGGGATGGGCAGAAAAGGAAAAAAAAAATAATAAGAAATTAGCCTGAATTACTGGATGTAGTTTTTCTGTACTTCCTTAGTTTTGGGGTCTTGTCAGTAATGACAGAACTACCCTCAAGCTGAAAGCTTTTGCATGAAATTTAAGCTTTTTCAGCTGTTTTTAAAACTCATCTGAATGTTTTTCTGCACAAACGAATGCAGGTAAGTGCTGAACCTCTTCAGCCTAACAGGACTGTTACTCTGCATGCTGAGTTGTATTTCCCCCAGCCCTTTCCTTTCCTATACAGATCATGGGATAACCAGAAAGCAAAGAAGTTTCTGATAGTTCTTCACCATGCATGGATGGATTTGATGCCTAGCCCCAAAGTTACTATGTTCCACTTTTACCTACCTTAGAAGTGTTCAAAAATGTTTAGTCTTTTCTGCAATGCTAACTACCTACTTATTGTAGAACTCAAATGAGAGTTATAATTTGAGTTGTTAAGGTCTACCTCCAAGACACCAAGAAAACATGGACCAAATATCTCACCTTGTTCTAAATCCTGGCTATAGTATTACTTGTTTCAAAGGCATAAATTATGCAATAGGTAAATGCAAAATACTTTGACCCCAAACATAAGAGAGAGAACTCCAGTACATGGAGATTAGTTTAAAAACTGGAGAACATTTAATGTCCTTTCCAGGATTCATTAGTACGTAGGATGACAAATGTAGATATTCCCAATGGTTTGTTTACATTATGCAGAGTTTCCATTTTTAACCTAGACTAACTGCTCAGTGGCAATAACTTTTATAGTCCAACTATGTTGTAAGAAAAATAAAACTACAGTTTACAGGTTTTCTATATAATTTTGCCCTTTTTTTTTTCCTTTGTTATGAGAATCTACTATTCTACTTACTTCCTAACAGCGTGGGTTAGATTCTAGTCTTAGGAGGTGTATGTGTCCTCTTCAGAGGCCTTCCTATGACAATGGCTCTACGTTTTTGTTGCCAGGTTGTGCCTAAGAAATGCATTTGGATTTTCTAACCCTTCTACAGGGAGTGGCACTGGTGGCATCTCGTAATTATGCACAGGAAATGCTCAGTTCATAAGTCAGCAATGTTACTCTTTTCCTCCAAAATAGAAGCAGCAGTGGGAAGGGTGTGATTGTCTGATGGCTAGATATAGCCTATAATTAAGGCTCCATAGCTCAAAATTTAATGAGTACTTCCATCAAGTTCCTTCACTATCTCTTTAAGGTAGCAATGCAAATTTTCCCATTTTAACCACATTTTTTTCATGCCTTTTATCACACTTCTCTGAAACCTTTTAGTTCTGTATCTTAAAAGTTTAAAGTATGGTTCAGTTCACAGTGTATGCTATTTCAGATAAGACTCAGGTCATTTTACAGTCAAGTTATATTATTCACACTGTCGTCACCCCATAATGTATAAAGTCAAAACCTTGTTAACTGAAGCTTCAGAATTAGATATCTTCCTCATGCCTTTGTCTTCAAACACCATTCTATTCAACTTAGCAAAATAACTAAAAAGTGTACAGCACTAAGCCTATCAAGTAATTCCTCCATATACTTAACCTCTAATTTATATCACCAATAACTGCCACCCAATTTGATCTATTTTGTTTAAATTTTACTGAAGGTCCCAGATGGCCATTTTTCCAATTAATTAAATAACTGTCAACTACTTATTTGTCATTATTTACCACAGCTCTTCACTTTTCTGGATCAACTACTGTATTAAATATAGACGTTAAACAGCTTCAAAGCCTCATGTCACAGTGAAATCTGACTATTTGTCTTCTGCTGTTGGTTTCTGTTCCCTCTGGGTTTTGATCCATGGCTGTAGGTGGACTACTTAAATTCTGTAGCAGACTCCTTCCAAAGGTTCTTTGGAATTAAGTATACTGTACCAACTCTTCTTTATATTTTTTATGTGCCATTAATAGAAGATAAATAAGGCTTATTACATAAACTTAGGGAAAAGAGTAACCTATACATTTCTTATTTTGTTTCAACTGGTTCCAGCTGACTTGTATGCCATAGAGAGATTGACTACTAAACTAAAATTGTCTATGCTATTTATAGTCCTTTAAATGCTGCTTAAAAAAAATAATAATGTATTGGCTAGACCTTTGAAAGCTAACATGAAAAGGCACATGTTTTTGTTGACAGCTCAATTACTTTGTAACTAGCTTTCCCCTCCAACTATTAATAAAGGTTTAAAATAGAGGTTAAAAAAGGCAGGTTTGTGCTTTTTTTTTTTTTAATTAAAGAAATATTTTTCCCTTTCAGTTGCTCAAGTCTCAATCCTTTGCCTATTGCAGTATCCCAGTTCTGCAGCATTTTGCATAGCTTTCTTAACTGAAACCTTTTTGGGAATTGGAAGGCCAAGCCTGATTTGCTGATGTCAACAGACCCATTGTGGTAACACTGCAGTCAAATAAATCTAATTACCTAATTATGTCAACTGCCAATTCTGGCTTATTAAATTTATTTCTACACTATTGTGAGTCTGCATATTGACATTTGTTCAAGAGTATCTAAAGGTTCCGTAACATAAAGGAGAGCAATCACATTTAATTCATATTGTAAACATGCACATTGCAGTATTTCCAAATGCTTAGAAGAATCAAATATTTTTGATACCCAAAATACTTCATGTAGACTTTAGGTTTTTCTCTGCATTGGGATTAAACATGACCAGGTAACAGGTGAAACACTCTCTTGGCTAGAGAACAAACTATAACACTCAGTTTAAAATGAAAAAGAAGGGAGACAATTGCAAGGAACAAGGGGGAAGAAGGCAGAGAAGCATTTCTCTAGAAATGGTAGAAAGATTTCTCTATCACAAGGGAAAAAACAAAGCTTTCTAAGATAGAACTTTTCTTTGAAGTATCTGCAGTTTCACAGCGATCTCAAAGTCCAAACACTTTAGGGAAAAATGTGGTCATTAGCAGATCTGAAAGGTAGTTAGTTACAAACATGTGTTTATTTACATAAGGAAGGAAAACGAATAGAAGAATTGGAAAAAAAAATGGAATGGAGAGTGTGGGAAAAGAACCAATCTATAAGAATCCAGAAAAGAATTCTGTTATTACAGTATTATGTGGAAAAGGGTGCAAGGAAAGGTCACTTGGAGTTTGAAAGCAGGACAGGGTAAAAGGAAAAAAATAAAAAGAAAAGAAGACTTGGAGCCAACTTTGATGGCTCAAGAGACAGCAACACAAGAGACACAACACCTCCAGGGTCAAGAAAAAGACAAGACCTCAGACAAGACTCCAGTGCTAGTGAACCACTCCATGCTGTGCTGCAATTTGATGCACCAGAGGCCCCACTCCCCCTACTGCAGGCACGGCGAGAGAAGGGCTCAGTATGTGAGTGGGATTTGATAGAGCTTTATACCACTAAGGTGCTCTGGGGTCTGCAAGTCAATGCACACACCTCATGCAGAGCAAAGTACACTTACAGAGCAACAGATGCAGTGGCAGCAGCAGGGCAGAGGGAGGTGAATATGGGTCCCACTTACACCTGAGAGAAGCAAAGAGGAGAGTTGACAGCAAGTTGAATGTGAGGGTGTGTATGTGTGTAAAATGAGCCTTAATGGCATGCCAAATACATGTCTTTTTAGTATTTGGGCACTCACCTCCCCGGCAGGCCTGAATAAAGAACATTTTGGGCTTGTTCTGGAGATTTGGACAGTTTGCGTTATCAAAGAGCCGGAAAGCCTCCTGCAACTGAGAGAAGAAAGAACATAAATATATTTTACAGCAGCCTCCTGCGAGCCAGAGTCTCACCTTGCTTCCCTGTATTTTGGTTATTACCTTGCCAGTCTTAGTATTTTCTCCTTTATCTCTAAACTTACTGTGTGACAAACACATCCCTTCCCTCGCTTCTCCCCCACCTCATAGAATCATGGCCCAGGCCAGAAGGGACCTCCAAGGGTCATCTAGTCCGACCTCCCCGCAGTCAGCAGGGACACCCCCAACTAGACCAGGTTGCCCAGGGCCTCGTCGAGCCTCTCCTTGAATATCTCCAGGGAAGGGGCCTCAACCACCTCCCTGGGCAACCTGTTCCAGTGCTCCACTACCCTCACAGTAAAGAACCCCCCCCTAATCTCCAAAACCCCCTCCTAATCTCCTCCTACTAGTTTGAGTTTATCCACTCTACCTAGTACTTGTACAGAAAGAGAAGATGAAATAACTTCTCCTACCTGCCCTATTTCTATGCTACTTTTTATCTTACAGACCTCTCAGACAGACCCTTTCCCTTTTCTTCCCACAAGCCCTTATTTTTTCCTTTTTAGAAAATGTAAATCCTCAATCTCTCATCACTTCACCTTCTCTCTCACTTTTTCCCCCCCCTCCACTTTTTTCATCTTTCCACTGTTACTTTCCAAGATATAACCTAGAACACCACATCAGGTCACAGGAATATACCTGTAGCAGTTTGCCATCGCTGCCATAAACCCCACCCTCCACACCATGGGAAAGCAGAGCTACAATACAGGAATCCACAGCCCGATGATCCGGCAGCTTAGAGAATCTCTCCAATGCATTCTGCATCTCCTGGAAGAGAGAAAAAGAATGCTTTCCAGGCTTGCACAGGGAAAGTGGGTCAACGTACAGGAAAAACAAAAATGGTCCTCCTGTTATGAAAAGTGGGTCAACGTACAGGAAAAACAAAAACGGTCCTCCTGTTATGAAATCAATCCTATTTACAAAAAATTTAAAGGGACAAAAGATGTGTTCCATTTAAAGAACCAGCAAAACCTTCTTTATTCTTCAATATTCAGTCCTAAGACTGTTATGAAATCGCAGAATCACAGAATCTTCTAGGTTGGAAGGGACCTGTCCAACTGTCAACCTAATTGACATCAATCCTATTTACAAAAAATTTACAGGACAAAAGACGTGTTCCATTTAAAGAAACAGCAAAACCTTCTTTTATACAATATTCAGTCCTAAGTATAAGATGGTGAAGCAGGAATCACCTAGGACATCTACATTTCTACACTGGCCAATGGGGGGATGCAGCAAGCATCTGAGTTGATATATATGGATTCAACACAGGAGAAATAAACTGTTACAGAGGTTTTACACTGACACTTGAGTCCAGGTGGGACATTGGTGCAACTAAACAGATACATGCTCTGGTACTTCAGGCATTCAAACGCTAGTGATCAAAACACAACAATTTGCAGTGGAAAACTTTAGGAACTCTGACAACATGGCAGGTGCAAAGGTCTTATTATAGTATTGCAAAAGCTACCTTCTTGAATAAAACACTCTTTAACGTGTTCTGTAACACTTGGTTTCATAGGGACTTAAAAGGAGTAAGAACAAGTGAGGCTGGAGAGGGCAGCAATTGCATTCCTAGGGAAAGAGTGGCTTGATTCAGTCAGCTATGGAACGTTACCAATTTTTCTAAGTGAAGTATAACTACTTCTCTGGCAAAGCAAAGACTGAAGGAGTGGAACTTAACTGCATAGATACTGGAAGACTGAGAAATAGGATGGCATTTGACTCCAAGCACATCAGGAACACACCACTTACGCTTGCAAAGATTAGGTCAAATATTTGCAAAGTTAGACTTTTCCAGTATTCTGCTAAACTAAAAGTTAATCTAGAGTAAAAGACTTTATTCATTTGTGGTTTTAGCACACATGCCAGGTGTGGACTAGAAATTCTTGCGCCTTGCACTACAAGGAGTCAGACTAGAGTAGTACCTCTTCTGATCCTTTGTAATCCTACTTTCCATTAAGCCCACGACCTTCCAAGCTTCTTCGTATTTGTCAGCAGACATCACCTCATTTAGCCTTATTTTCTATTCATAAGTGACAATGCATAATTTCCTTTCCAAGCTTAGTTATACCAAATGAAACCCCTTAAGATGTTCATGTAACAGTTACAAACTATCATCCATACTGGTTGTGAAGTACTGGGATCCACCTTACCTGTGCAGTTTGATCATGAAAGACATTCACTTGATACCCAAGATGCTTGAAAAGTGTCTCCAGGGAAGCACAGTCCACATCTCCCCCTGCGCGATAGTCCAAATCCTTCTCACTGCTGAAATGGACGTTGCTGAGAATAAGTGCTAAACCTCGGGGCTCTGATACCAGTTTATATGCCTGAGAAGAAGATTTAAAATTGGTAAATTCAGACTACAGAAGGACATAATGGAGTGTTAAACAGCAATCCCCACATACCAGAATTTCTTGAGTGAGAACGCACAAAAACAGTAGGTCAATTTTTTCAAGTTTTTTGTTGCTTTGGTTTGTTGATTTTTTTAAATAAATAAAACAAATGTTTGCATTGCAAAGGGTCTCAAAGACAACTGCATTTGCAAGTCCCCACAATTGATGATCCTACAACATTATTATTAACGTGTTATACTAGCTTGCCCTATTTCTTGTTTTAGAAGAAACACAGCTTATACATTTCAAGCTGTGAACTAGGTCTTGCTAACTTTTTCCCCTTTCCTCACCCTCACCCCAGCCCCATATATGTCCACCATCCCCATCAAAGCCCTTAACACAAGACTATGTAAAATTTAACTAATATTTCTTAATTGCTGTAGGTAGCCGTGACAGATGTAAAATACCATGAGCACAATGGTAACAGCAAGGGACTGTCAGTGACTGATCCTGAAAGTTACATGGCTGCCAAAAAAAGGTTAACAAGGGAAGAACTGATTTAAGAGGGGTGTCTTCAAATTAAGTTCCCTCTCTGCCCCTCCCTCTCTAACAACAACAAATCAATAGTAAATCAGTTCCTAGCACTCCTGTAAATTGGAAATTAAATTTAATACCAAAGGAACGTATCAAGTAGGGAGTATTCAGGCACAGATGTAAAAGGAGCCAAAGACAGATCATACTGATGCTGCCTAATTAGGTCTCCCCAATACACAGCTAAAAAAATGTAAATCTGTTTTGCTGTACACAGAGCTTGTGACAGAAACGTTAATTGTTAGCACATTGTGTAACCCTAATAAAGCATCTGCTCCATAATACAAAATATTTTTTTTTCCTTAAGCCCACCCTACCCCAACCTATACTTTTTGTTTATTCTGTTTGCAAAGCAATTAAACTATCTACATAACCTCAAATGCTGCAGGAAATTAAAAACTCAGGTTGGGTACAACCCAGCACAGAATCCTAATCTGGTTCTTGAGACTAAGGAGAGACTCTTCTGGGAACAGTTGGCAATTATGACAGCCAAGACTGTGACTATCAGTCGAAACACAGTTCTCATATTTTACAGTCGTTTGCAGGGTGTGTCATCACAGAGAAGGAGATGAGGATGCAGGCAAATAAATATGAGGCAATAATATTGACAGCTTACACCTATCAACAGAACAGAAGGCATTTCATGTAGCTCTTCATGAGCGAATACCAGAGGCAGAGATTTGTATAGAGTTACAGAACTTCTCAGAATTTCTTGACACACATAAATGAGAACTACATCGAATTGGATACGACTGGTAACATGTCGGTTACACAAATAGCACAGCACTGATCTGCATCTCAACGAAGCAGGTGTTTCAACTCAGTTTTTGTAACACATGTTCAGTTGACACATCCAAACACCACACATCTTTCACGTCTTAAGGCCGTTTTCTGTCAATTACTTACCAAGTGCTGATGGTTATGATAAAATTCAGGAGTGCAGTACTTCACTGGAGGAACTGGGGGACCATCTCCATTATCCAAGGAATGTTCAATTGGTTCTGTGCAAAACAAACATATCAATAACAATCAAAAATTCTAACTACAGAGCCTCACTACACATACACAATGAAACAGCAGAAACACCAAAAGTACTGGAATGGCATACTTATTTTTGTTTATAGTTTTAATTGGCAATTTTTTTTTCTTGCATGCGGGTTAGTCTTATCTAAGGCCTAGTAAGTTTGGTTGTATCTACAGAGTATGAAAAATTCTCATCTAAAATTAGATCCATGTACTTTCTGTCATTTTATACAATATGCTATTCCTTTCAGTTAGGTTTACAAAACACCACTGCTAGGAATGTTCAAATAGAATAGTGCTTGCTTTTCCTTTCATGAAAGGCCTCCCATGCTCACTGGATACAATTACTTATTTTTTGCTGAACACATGCATGAGTGATCAAACTAGACCTTTCTAGCTTTCATAAAATGCAATGTCCTTTTTTATTTATCTGCCTCTGAACAACCCTTTCCTTCATGTAATCGCAGATGAGGGGAATGATAATCTAAATTATTTGCCATTTGCAAACAAACACTCACTCCCCTGTCCTGAAGAAAGGGAGGTAATGACATTCATCATCTCCTTTGAAATCCTTTTTCAGCCTTTTGAGACATAGCTCTCCTGAATGGAAGCACATACGCTGTAAAAATTCAAAAAACCCCAACTCTAAATCCTCTGCACCTGAATAGAAAAAAGCCTTCAAAATCTAGACACTTGTTCTCTAACATCAGAGAGAGCTTCTAGTAACCAGCACACAATTAAAGCTGTGGTTAGGGGACACGAGGCATTCCCAGAGGCAACATAAAAACTAGCAAGAAGATTCATTCCAACAACTACTTCCCTGACCTAAGTCACAAATGCTTGCTAGATAAAAGCTGATTCACTGCACTTTAGAGAAGCTACAGACATTTATGTTGAGCTCATGTAACATATATAAGGTCTTGCACTTAAACTTATTTACCAAGAAGGAAGTCTAAGTTCAGGAATACTGCCCAAAATCAGTATATTTTCACAGCTCTAGTTCAATTAAACTGTATTGCAAATCTTAAATAAAGAAGAAAGTTTTTGAAAAATTTAAAATTTTACTGACATGTACTGTTTAGCAACAACATTTCTAAGGATAAATGAAATTGGCTAGAAATTGATTGGTTTCTCTCCTCCTATGTGCTATTTCATTTTCATTTTCTAGCCCTGCGGCCCTTCCATTTTCTGCACATGATCATAATATAGTCATTCACTGTCAAGTTTGTATTACTGGGACGAGCAAAGTGGCAGCAAGATTATTTCTAGAATTAAGAGAGTGTTATGAAATTAGAAGCAACTAACCAGATAGCCAGTCAAGTATTTATGGTGTCAAGTACGACTCACCAATCCAGCGCGGTCTCTTGGAATTACACGACTCACTGACAGGGAACGGAAGATTTGATCCACAACAGTGTTCAAGCTACAAGAGATCCAATAAATCCATGAAAGAGTAGCATAATCCAGCTCTTTTTTCTCTCTAAAATACAAGCCCGTAGGTATCATGGAACGAAAATACATGTATTTATATACACACATATATGTCTTAAAAAGTAATATCATTGTTCACATTCAAATGAAACATCATGACAAGACAACACCAGCATCTTCTGTCCATGCAAAATTCCCTCCCGTCTTTTTTCATCTCTGCACTTCTACTCAAATCCCCAGGTTGGAAACCTTACACTGAGATCATCATATCCTCCTTGGTTTTGCCAAAAATTGATCTGTCTAGTGATTACTATCTTTTTGTTTGCTTTCAAGACTTCATTGTTTGTATAGTAAAGCACAATTGAAAACAAAACCTAGAAAGGATAGTCTAATAAATCCCACATATTAATAAGGGAACATCTCTCCTCAAAAATACTCAGTCTTTCTTCCTCCTTTTTTGTATAAAATATGTTTATTGAGAGTTTCCATTGTTGTCAATGTCACTGACAATACTGAATATTTACTAAATTCTTCCTTTAGTCCAATGCTAACAACTGCAGATAGTGAAAAAGGGGAAAATAAAAATGACAAAATAAACTCCATCTCTCCTAAACAGACAAGACCAGCTTTTAGTAGCTTTCTGCTTCAGAAAATCATATTGAAAACTAAATGCTAAGATTTCAGAGAAAATATTTCCTTTGCAGCTTTGGGGTTCTTGATGACACATCAACTAAGAATATTCTGGATGTAAGAACATCCAGGAACCTTGTGCAATTCAACAAAGAGTGGCGCAGAGTCCTGATCTTGGGGAGGGACAACCCCATGCATCAATATATGCTGGGGACCACCAGCTGAGAAGCAACTTAGCAGAAAAGGACCTGGGGGTCCTGGTGGACACCAAGTTGAACAGGAGCCAGCAGTGTGCCCTTGCCACAAAGAAGGGTAATGGTATCCTTGGCTGCGTTAGGAGCAACGTCGCCAGCAAATCACATCAAGGGAAGTGAACCTTCCCCTCTACTCAGTTCTGGCAAAGTTGCACCCAGAGTCCTGTGTCCAGTCCTAGGCTCCTCTGTCCAAGGGAGATACAGGCATATTGGAAAAAGCTCAGCAGAAGGCCACAGAGATGATCAAGGGACTAGAGCATCTCTCCTTTGAGGAAAGGTTGAGGCAGATAGGACCGTTCAGCCTGCAGAAGGCTCAAAGCAATCTTATAAATGCATATAAAAACCTGAATGGATGGTGTAAAGAGGATGGAGCCACACTCTTTTCAGTGGTGCCCAATGACAGGACAAGAAACAGTGGGCACAAATTGGAACACAGGATGTTTCCTCTGAACATGAGGAAACACTTTTTTTACTGTGAGAGTGACTGAGCACTGGAGGAGGTTGCCCAGACAGGTTGTGGAGTCTCAATCCTTGGAGACATTCAAAAGACAGAGCCCTGGGCAACCTGCTCAAGGTGACCATGCTTGAGCAGGGGGGTTTTACCAGATGACCTTCAGAGGTCCCTTCCATCCATCCCGTGATTATGTGTGAAAATCCTCTTCTTCCCAACTTCCTTCTCCTCTGTTTTTACTAAGGCTACTACAAGTTTCAATTCACAATGAAAAACCATCCTGTCCCTCAGAAACGATTTTTTTTCCCATTTGAAAAAGATCTCTTTGTGCCCAAACCCAATCTGAAATGCAATCCACCCATTTTATCTTTTTTAAAAACTGTTGTACCCTTGCAATCCCATGGCTCAGGTTGGATGCTGTCTTCAAGATCAGTGCCTCCAGATGTTCCTGTTTGGTTTCTCGTAGAGCTTCACAGAAGGCTGAGAAGGCGTTAGGGCCCCTCTTAGGCAGCAAATTGAGGAATTCCACGTTTTGGCTGAAGCTCCCACACTTGGCCTAGATCCATAGAGAAAACAAAATCCACACTCAAATAACACCCCAACACAATTCATTTTCAATGAATCTTCAGAACAACCATTTCTTTTACTCCCTGTAAATGTTTCATCACTCTGCTTAGCTGTGCTAGATCCATTTTTAGAGCCTTTCCTAGTTGATTTCCCTCCCACTCCTCTGTCCCAAAAGGAACAGTGCACAACACTCCAGCAAGCCAACAATTCATATCTTACCACACCCAGAGATATTCTTCCCTTCTAACTTACACCACACACAGTAATAGTCTTCTCTCTAAACTTCTACTTCCAGTCACTGTTGGAATAGTATCTATTTCTCTTCATTGAATACACAAAGTCCCAAACATGTTTCCACTAATACCCAATGCTTTATGGCCTCATGCACCAATACGCGTATCCCCCAGAAAGCGCTACAAAATATTTATTTTATGCAATCAATTCCCAAAGATACTACATAAGTACAGACTGCAACTTATAGACCACAGCAATACATTGTTGCTTTTTCTCACATACTACTACCAAAAATGAAATGTATGCATCTGTAAGACACTCTCAGGAAGTTCTAACTGAACATTTGCCAACAAACTATAATTTATACAATAGCTTTCTCTGTGAGATCTAAAACACACAAAACCATCACATACTAAAATATTGTGTATCCAAAATAAATTTTATCAATTTTATGGAATTCATCCTATATGTTTTCAATTACCTTATAGATCCAGGATATCTTCTTTTGGTGGATGGTAAGAAATGGTTGACGAGTTACACATAATCAAGGCTTAACACTTCATTTGCATCACAGAAAAATCAGAAAAAAAGCCTCAAGTCACACGTGTAAATCCTCTGCTTTCTTTCATAAAATTTATCAAGCTTGGTGTTAAAAACAGTGTGGCTTTTTCCCCCATCACATTGTCTGAAAGAATACTACAAAATCTTGTTGATCCAATGCTTATGAACCTATTCTGAAGTTTCAAAGCTATGTTCATTCATGACTGACTAACAGCTTTTATTTTTGTATCAACAAGGTCCCTTGACTTTAGTGTTCTCCTCTCCTTTCCTTTGTTTATCAAACTTCTTTCTATAACTTGGTCTCTATTTGCTACAGTAAACAAGTCAGTCTTTCAGCTTCCTCAAAAGTGACCTCTTTCTCTTGACAATGCAAGTACCCTTTCCTATTTCCACAGGAACCTCAACTTTCAGAGCACAGTTGACTAAAAATGAATACAGTCATCCCACCTGTGCCTTTCCAGAAGTATGAAAACTGAAGATAACCAGCTCCATATACTTGTATCCTGCTGTAAGCCCACTGAATTTTATTTTACCTAATAAAGTGACAGCTGATATTTTATAGTACTTATTGTTCTTCCTGCAGCTGTTTATGACAAGCTTAGGATCATTAATGTTCTTCATTTTATATTTCTTCATAGTCTATGACTCTATGCCATAGATCATAATTAAGAACACAAGCTGATCTCAGCAATTGGATCTTAACTTTCATTGAGAAGTTGAGAAATTTACATAATGTTCATATTCTGCACTTTGTATATACAGTAGTCAGCTTTTGACAGACTTCTTCCTGAACACTTCCATAAATACCCAAAGTGCTGTACCTCATCATGTAACTTCCACATCAACACTACATTTAAGCTATACTAATGTTCAGCAAACATTCAGAAGTAAAAAATTTCATAAGACAGACTCATTTTATTTTCTAATACAACCTTAATTTATTTTGGTACCCTCACAGATGAGTTTGATAATCTGCATACCAGGAACTGGTTGCTCTGAATTCCTGTCAAAATCCATAGTATTAGTCTTCTTATTGAGCCTGAATAGACACACAGAATCTGCTGAGAGAACAGATATACTTGAAAAACATCCTAATCAAATTTCTGCCACTTTGTCAAAGCCAGTGTTCCCTTCGTTACTCTCTATAGGTAGACCCAGAGTATTTAAATCTCTGTATCTACATGATCTCGTAGTCTTCAATTACAGTAGAGTATTCAACTTGTTTAAAAAGCAAGAGAAAGCTCTTGCTGTCATACCTGCAATTTTGAAGGTCCATCCCAGAGCTCTGAAAGAACATTAGATGCTCTGACAAGAAGGCATTATTGAAATGGATTTTGGACTTCATCTTAAAAATGGCTGTTTCCACTGCCCCTCTTTATTGCCATTATCATTTTTGCTCTGTGTTTGAAAATCCTCTCTTCTGGGCCTTCACCTAGATAATTATATTTATATCATCTTCACTATACAATAATCACAATTTTTTTTTATTCTTTCTTTAAAGTGTAAATAATAAAAAAACCTCAAATTGTTTAGTATCTTTCTGAATTGCCCAATTTAAATTCATTTCTGTCAGTTGCTATTCTCATTCATTTCAAACATCACAGGAAGATGCTCCTATTTATTAATTCTTCTCCAGTGTACACCTATAAACTCTTTACTTACTCCTCATATTTATTATCAGCAATTCATCCAGCTCAACCACCTTTGTCTTCAGTGGCATTTCCTGCAACTTCCTCCCCTCCACACTTTTTTCTTATTTGCAGTAAAGTTTCAGTACTGGTGTAGCACCTCACACTTGAGGAAAATTCAGTCTTCCTTCATCTCCATAAGCTCCTTGGTTTATTTCACCTTCCTTAGATTATGGAAATTTATTTCAGTAAAGTACCCTATTTCCAGGACCAATTTATTTATTATTCTGTTTAGTATAAATCCAGCCAAAAGGACCAGTACAATTGTTGTGGTTTTAAGATGATTTAAAACATCCAGAGGGGCCTTGACAGGCTTGAGAAGTGGGTGTGTGCGAACCTCATGAAGTTCAACAAGGCCATGTGCAAGGTCCTGCACCTGAGACACAGCAACCCCAAGTTAAAATACAGGCTGGGTGGTGAATGGATTGAGAGCAGCCCTGAGAAGGACTTGAGGGTGTTGGTTGATGAGAAGCTCAATGTGAGCTGGCAATGTGCGCTGGCAGCCCAGAAAGCCAACAACACCTTGGGCTGCATCAAAAGCAGCGTAACCAGCAGGTCGAGGGAAGTGATTCTGCTCCTCTGCTCTGGTGAGACCCCACCTGGAGTACTGTGTCCAACTCTGAAGTCCTCCCAACAAGTCCATTTCCTTCCCGCATTAACAGGTCCAGCGGAGGGCCATGAAAACGATCAGAGGGCTGGAGCACCTCTCCTATGAGGACAGGCTGAGAGAGCTGGGGTTGTTCAGCCTGGAGAAGAGAAGGTTCTGGGGTGACCTTATAAGTGGCCTTTCTGTACCTGAAGGGGGCCTACAGGAGAGATGGGGAGGGACTCTTTATCAAGGATTGTAGCAATAGGATGAGAGGTAATGGTTTTAAACTGGAAAAGGGTAGATTTAGATTAGCTATTAGAAAGAAATTCTTTCCTGTGAGGGTGATGAGACACTGGAACAGATTGCCCAGAAGAACTGTGGCTGCCCCATCCCTGGAAGTGTTCAAGGCCAGGCTGGATGGGGCTTTGAGCAACCTGGTCTGGTGGAAGACCTTTATTTGCATTTGAGCCGGAGTTGATGTCTATTACAAATTCACAGAGCTACTACAGAGAAATGAAAGGTAAGACAAACTAGTTTTGACTCAAGTAATCTTTTTCTAATGCACGGTACTTTTTGTTTATCTACAGCACGTACCCTGCCACAGCAGCTCAAGTCACACTGTTATCTTGGTCAGGCTGCTATTGCTATTTATATACATTTAAGCTCTTGGTTATGTGCGTATGTTGTGTTAGGCACAATTTTTCCACTAAGCTATTACTATTTACCTGACTTATCCATCATAACACCATCATAACATCATAATACCTAATTGATGATAATCAATTAGTAAGCGTTTTTGCATCTTCTTTCACCCAGTTACACCTGGACAGTAAGATTCTCTTAGTCTTCTTCCCCTCTGTCTCAGTTTAACACTTCTTAACTGCAGCAATATTTTCCCCAGAAGACTATTATTATCTCTGGCATTATCCTACCTTTGAGAATGCTTTCTTTTTCCTCCTCTCCTTTTCTTCCCCTTCTCTCCCTCCCCCTTCAGTGCTAACTGCAGGCTGGCAAATGAACACCCCTACTAACCACCCATACTTTAGCAGTGTCATTTTTTTTTAACCCCCATGGGCTGCTAAGCACCACACAGCTGCTCAGTCACTCCTTTTCCCAGCGAGAGAATTGAAAAGGTAAAAGTGAAAAAACTCATGGGTTGAGATAAACACAGTTTAATAAGTAACACAAGAGCCATGCATGCAAGCAACGCAAAACCAGGAATTAATTCACCACTTCCCATCAGCAGGCAGGTGTTCAGCCACCTCCAGGAAAGCAGGGCTCCATCACGCGTAACGGTTACTTGGCGAGACAAATGCCGTAACTCAGAACGCCCTTCCTTCCTTCTTCTTCCCCCAGCTTTTATTTCTGAGCACAACACCATAAGGTACAGACTATTTCTTTGGTCAGTTGGGGTCAGCTGTCCTGGCTCTGTGTGTGTGTCCCCCAATTTCTTGTGTAACTCCAGCTGACACAGTGGCAGGGCAGTGCGAGAAGCAGAAAAGGCCTCAACTGTATAAGCACTGCTCAGCAATAACTACAACATCTCTGTGTTATCAATATTGTTTTAATCACAAATCTAAAACACAGCATCATAGCAGCTACTATGAAGAAATTAACTCTATCCCAGCCAAAATGAGTACAATCAGTTCTTGATGCATTCTCTGACTTCCACTGTCTTCCTGTATATTTGTGCTCTTCCACCAGGGATTGGAGCTATTTCAGGTAAGACTACCTGCAACTCCCACAACTTAGTGTAAGTATCTTTGGAAGGCCCACACGGTATTTTGCATTATCTTTGATATGCAATGAGTCAAAATTCATCAGGAAGTTACTTCTTCACTGCTTTCAAAAACCTTTATCAGTCTCAGGTTCATATCTTCTGCACTGGTGCCCAGGAAATAGCTTATAATTCTATTTATCAGCATCTGTTCTTGTGATAGGACCACCACCTTACTAAGGGACTAAAAAGTCCCTCAGCTGCTTATCTGACTCCTGAGATGCATACGTGCACCTTCAGTCATGTGATTTCCTTTCCAGTTTGCTTTCTCTTTGAAGACCTGTACCTCCATCCTGCATAGTCTTTAGTGCACAACCATACTTCTGGGAGCAGTCCCAAGCTATTTCAAATGACTTCTCTTCATAGTACTCATCGCTCAGGATAACCAACAAAAGCCCATGAACAGCATTTGTCATCCGAGAGTGAGTCTTGGATTATCTAAGGTAATTCCCTTAATTAACAAAAACACATATGAAATACAAATTCTTCAAGTGAAAGGTGCACAAGTGCCACAACAAGCCAGTTTATAATATATTCCTTTACTTACTTTTCTTTTGGGAATAGGTATTAGTCTTACTTTTCCAAATGGAAAAAATAAGAGAGGCACAAGATGACAACAAAGGATTGGAAGATACCACCTGTCTCGTGAAACACAGCCTGCTGCAAATACATACCAGCACGCAAGCCAATGGTTTAGTAAACCTCAGGGAAAATCTATACAGCCAAAAGCAGCTTATGGTTTCTCCTATATACTGCAGGCAAACCCTGTATTGTTTTGAGAGTTCTACAAGCATAATCACATTAAAATATGCAGGTAACACACAGATGAGTTCTACCATGCTGCCACCGCCAAGAATGACACTGAGCCTCACTAGAAATAACGCTAACCCTGCAGCCGAGCGTAACCTGCCTACCTGTATCGTTTCCATCATCTCCAGGGTGATGATGTCCTTCTCTATCATATGTTCCATCAATTCCTTCAAAACCAGCTGCTTCGCCAGCACCACCCGGTTCTTCTTCAGCGCTTCCTGATGACACCGCTGCATGCCGCAGGCGACCAGCATCTTGGGCCAGGAGAAGGGGGGAGGCCAGAGGCCAAACCCAGCGCAGAAGAGCCACCCTCAACCCCTGACGACTTTCAACTCGGGGTGGGGGGAAAACAGGCCGCCTCCACCAGCAGCTACTGCCGCCACCTGACGACGGGCAGGAGAGGCCTCCACCGGCGATGAGTGAGAGAGGGTGCAGGGCCGGGGTCGCAGGACCCAGGCGGCGAGGCCCAGGCCGCTCCAGGCCCCTGCGCGGCCTCCCCTCACCAGCTCCCGCCTAAACGGCCCGCGCCGCGCGCGCGCCCCTCCCCACCGCTCCCCGCGCCTCGCTTGGCTCCGCCTCTTCTCCCCCCTCCTCCCGCCCACGGCCCCAGCGCTTCCAACTGCGAGAGACTCCCTTCCCTCCGGTCACGTGG